ACGTCAAAGTCTATAAACCTAACTAAATTAAATTTTAATTTAAAATTAAATTAAATTAAGATTCATCTCATAAATCCAACACAATCTGGCAGAGCTGTCGCCATCGCTTGTCAGTCAAAGTTGATCACGTGCATCGGAAATTGTTTTGCGATTACCATACATTTTTAATCTTTCTATAACTAGTGTTAATCTTTCCTCGCCAAAAGACCTCGCCAAAATTGTCATCGATTGTCGTTCCTCAGCCGTCTTTGACGCCGTTTTTTTTTTTCGAATTTTTTCTGAATTTTTGATGTTATTGCCCTTTTTGATATACTCATAAAACTTTTGCGATAGCTCAATAAAAAAAATCTTTAGTAAAAATAGATATAGAAAATATTTGTTACTTTTTAATGTATTTGGTTCCAAATCTTTTAATGCTCTCGATGTATAACCACGAAATCTTGTGCAAATTTTATTTTTTTGTGTAGATCCCAACTAACGACTTTAAAATTATAGCTTGTAAAGATTTTTTTCCTTTCATATTTTTTTTAGAGAATAGAAGATGGTAAAAAATAACGATATCTGTCGCTTTCATTCACAGAAGAACGAAAATATTAGAAATTGTATTTAATTACAACAGTTTTTTTTTCAGAAAATATTTTATTTTTTTATGTGTTATATTTTTTATATAAAAAGTCTCCAAACACTTTAAATCTAATAAAACACAATTTTTCTCCGCCATCAATTTATTGTAAAACACAAACACATAACAATGGAGACATAACAAACTGAAAACTAAGTTAACAGTAATATTATTTATTTATTTACTACAGCGCCATCTAATTTTATACAACCGAATCTAAACGTTCCGATTCAAAGTGAAAGTTACTTCACTGCAACCTGCTAGGATTTATATTTTTTTACTTGATAAATTATTCGGTAGATGTCTGCCTATGGCACAACTAATGTACAAAAAATGAATCTTTGTTAAAGAGATAATTTTGAAATTACGATATTCTAGATTTTTTTGGTTAAAAAAACTAAAAAATAAGTACACAAAAATTCAAGAACTCTACCACTGGTCCCATTCTTCAGATCCAACAAAGCTCTTGCCTGTGGTAAACTTAATTTTTGGAATTTCCTTGAAACTCCTTTCCGTAGTTATCTGAATTTTTGGGAATTCGAAGAAACTTTTTTCTCCAGGTAACTCAAACATTGGAATGTCTTTGAATTTTTTTTCTGAAGTTTGCTGAATCCTTGGAAACTCGACGAAAGGTTTCTCATCACAAAACTCAAACCTTGGAGCTTCTTTAAAGCTTTTTTCCGTAGTTACCTGAATCTTTGGGAACTCAAAGAATGGTTTTTCTTCAGGTAACTGAATCCTTTTTGGTTCAAAGAAACTCTTTTCTGTTGTGACCTGAATCTTTGGGTATTCGAAGAAAGGTTTCTCTTCTCTTTTAGGTTCGTAGAAAATCCTTCCTCCATTGACCTGAATCCTTCCAGGTTCGTAGTAACTCTTTTCTGTAGTAACCTGAATCCTAGGTGGTTCGTAGTAACTCTTTTCTGAATTGATCTCAACCCTTGGAGCTTCATAGGAACTCTTTTCTGTAGTGACTTGAATCCTGGGAGGTTGGTAGAAAGTTTTTTCCGAATCAAACTGAATCCTTGGTGGCTGGATGAAGTTTTTCTGTGAGAACTGGATCCTGGGCTGTTGAACGCTGAAACTTTTTGGAGTAGTGAACTGAACAGATTGGAAGTAGTTCTTTTCTGTTGAGACTTGAATCTGTGGAGCTCTTATGGTTTCTTGAACGGGTATTTCCAACTTTCTTTCCTCATTTTTCTATAATAAAAGTATAATAAAAGTAGTGAATTATTTAGACACTAGAATTAGACATTTTATAATTTCTAGATCAAATATTATATAATCAGTTTAAATTTAAACTTCTATTACCTTTCTGAAGGGTACTTCTTTGGTAAATGGAGGTGTGTCGAACTCTCTGGATACAAAACCATAATTTGTGTAAGTTTGGGGCAATATAGCTTGTTTCTGGATAGCTATCGCAGGTGGTCTTTCAACTGGAACTATTCTCACTTGCTGCTGTACTGGTAAAACTAGAGGACGTTCTATTTTTACTGGAGCAGGTTGAGGAATCTGGAAACAGTTATTTTTTAGCCAGATGTTCAAAAATTTCCAAATGGGAGTATGTTTGAGTCAAAAATTAGCTCAAATATATCATTAAACACTAGTTTCGCTAAAAAAAAGTTCATTTTGAAAGAATTTTCTTGATTTAAGTAATAATAATAATTAATAACGCTTTATTGTACAAAAAGCCAAAATAGCTTCATCGACAAAGCATTTACAAAACAAACAAAAGCACAAAAAATATACAAATACACTGATAAAAAAGAAAGACTTGAACTAAAGTCGTCATCGTTCTTGAAAAAAAAATTAGTGGCAAGAGAATTTATTTTAGCGTAAAAGAAAATATTTTGCCTGAAGAAAAACTCTCTTAACTCAAGAAAACTGATTCTCTTGAAAAATTCGAAAATTTCTCTTGAATCTGTTTTCATTCAACCAAGTGCAAGTTACTTTGTTTTAAGATAACAAGAAAAATACGCTAGGAAGTACTTGATTCAAGAAACATGGCCATTTTTCCAATAGCTAAATACCCCTTTGATGAAAAATAATAACGACACGCAAAGACGATGACGAAGGATGGTATATACAATCAGTCTGCAGTCCCATCAGTCGTACGTCGCATTTCATAGCTAGCACATCATAGTACGCACGGGTTTTGTTGCTTGGAATTTTCCACTTGGAATTTTGCATAATTTGCTTTTTAAACGCATATCGTATAACAAATTAGTGATCGTTATTAACATGCATTTGTCATTTTTTATGGACAAATTTTAGAATGTATGGATTCTTTAAAGGAGTTTCTGAAAAAATGGAAATTAGAGCATTTATTTGCTATATTTGAAGGTAAGAGACATTTACCTAATGCACCTGTTTAGATAATGCATGCGTGACTATAGATAGAATAAGAATATAGCTATCGATTTTTTTATGCAAATAATTACAAAAATTTTAGAATTTCAAGTGGTCGTATTAAAAAATTCAAAGTGTGATCAAAGCTTATAATTTTAATAATTTATTTGCTTTATTTCGATTAATCGTGATGTAACATTTTTTTGTAGCAGAAGAAGAAGCAGAAATAACTGACTACTATCGAGGAAAATTACTTACTACAGACCAGGAAAACCTAAATTTATTAGAAACCTCGTAATATGCCTGTATATGATGTATAGACTTCTCTTAGATCAAAATAAATTTTAGTTGAGTAAATAGTATTCGCTATTGGTTTAAGAAAAGTGTCTCTTTAATCAAGAAATGTCCCTTTTCAATCAAGAATTTTTGCATGAATCAAAGAGACTATTGTTCTTGTAGCAAGAACTTCTTTGCATATTCGTTTTGGGTCAAGAGTGAAACACTTTGGAAAGATAGATTCTTCTATTCTCTAAAGTAATTTTTTAAAGCTTATGAAAAGATAGTTAATGCTTTGATCAAAGAAACGTCGTTCTTGGCCCTATTGAAAAGCGCCAATCCTTTGGGTCAAAGTCATATTCATTTCGACTGAGAGATCCTTTTTTTCAGTGTAATAAAAAATATCATATAATTCAAAAAAATACGCCATTAAAATTACAAATAGAACAATAGGAAAATTGTACATGGATATAATCATGTAAGAGTTATAAAATATTAAATACTATATTTTTAACCAGTATGTGAGATGATCAAAATTTTAAAATTCAAAATTGTTCATGATTAAACATCAACAAAAAAGTCGTTTACCGCATATAGGGCTCTCTCCAGTAAGTATGATTTCAGAGCTTTGCGAAATGCGGGAAAGAATGAAAGCGACTTGATATTCAAAGGCAGATGATTGTGCATTTTTTTGGCATTGTACAGTATTGAGCCTTTAACTAGTTCTGAGCTCGGGATTGGCAGATAGAGATCGTGCTCCGCATTCCTAAGTGGATAGTTGTGAGATGACCTTTCGGGAATAGCAGATATGTGCTCGTGGATTAAGCAAACGGATTCAAAAATGAATAAAGAAGGAAGAGTCAGTATTTTGAAATTTTTAAAGAAATTCTGCCAGTGAGTTCTACTGTTCGGTCCCAATAAATATCGAACTGCTCTCTTTTGAAGTTTGAAAATAGGATCAAATTTTGTTGCGCAGCAAGTACCCCAGAATGGAAGGGCGTAACGAAGATGTCACTCAAAAAGGGCATAATAGGCTGTTCTGGAGGTTGATAAGTTAAGCTAGTTTCTTAGAATCTTAGCGCAAAACAGGCAGCGCTTAGTTTCTTTGATAAAGCTTTGTAAGAACAATCTTTGTATTGTCAGGGTTTTGTTTACAGGATACTGTGTCCTTAATGAACTCCTCAGTAAATTAAAGCTAATAAACAACGGTGAATGCAGGTTCTGTGGGGAAAATAGAGAAACACCAGAACATCTCATCAATGAGTGTGCCGAGACGACAACCAATCGTGTCCTGAACCTTTGTACGACTGATGATACGGAGATGGAGAACTAACATCTGTAAAACCGTCTCAGATACTGGCTTTTGTCAAAGCCCTGAGACTGTATAATGAGTTAAAACTTAAGAAAATGTGAGACAATAGACTTACAAAGTCTATTCTACTCTACAAGACGTACCTGAATAGGAGGTAAAATTGGTGCCAATTTACTAACTGGAGTAGCCACTTCCGGAGGTCCATTATAAGGTATGCTGGTCTCTTTAAACAAGGTGTAGTGCTGCGGTACTTTGATCTCGAGTGGTACCTAAAAAAACACAAATATACATTTTTTTTGGATAAATATTCAAAAATCAGTACCTGTATCTCGGGTCTTTGAATTGGTCGTTCAGTAATAATCGGTCTTGATGCTTGTTTCATTAACGATACAGTGCTTTGAAGCGGAGCCGGTACGATATTGGGAATGGCTATAAAAAAACACATTTCATAGTACACAACAATAATATATTGTATGATAGGTATAATACAATGGGTAATATCTCACATATTAAGATATCAGTAAGGCATTATAGATAAAGTAAATAATGTACAATACTACTAAGATAATACTAATTGAATGAGGGTTGTAATGCTCTGTTTTGTGGATCAGAGTCTTCTATTGGTATCAGTAGAAATTACCTGAAAAAAAGTGATCAGAAAAGTTTAACAAACATCTTAATATGACTAGAAATAATAAAAAAATAAAAACAGCTCTCACCACTATAATATTATTCCTAATCTTAAATTGAAAACCGCGTTTCGCTAACTACTGTAATTTTAATTAAAATTTTTAACCCCCTCCCATACCCCCTTACCAACTCCCCACCACCACAAAAACTAATGGCCAGATTCTCGGGCGCCACAGTATTTTTGTGCCAAATTTGGTTAAAATCGGTTTAGCGGTTTTTGAGTTATCGTGTTACAGACTAGGGATCGGCAAGACAAGAAATCTTGTCTTGACAAGCAATTTCTTGTCTTGCCGATCCCTAGGGGATCCCTATTTCTTGGGATAATTTTCCTAAAATATTCGTGCCCGAAAGAAAATTTCCAGGAATAATTTAAGCTTGCGTGGTATTCGGTAAGAAAATTTCACACCTAAATTTGAAAAAAAAAATATTAATCCAACATGACATTTTAAAATAATTTCAATTTGTTAATAATATTAACAAATATTATTATATTTTTAATTAGTTACATCAAATGCTAAAACTCAAATGGGTAATATTTCAATATATAGACATTGTAGTTCATTCACATTATGATTGTAGATCTTATGTTTACCTTTTCAACTGTCAAAAAAATTTCCACTAAAGTTTCGTGGCGCCTCGAAAAAATTTCCGGAAATTTTTTCAGTTGCCATGGTAACTAGTCAACATTAAAGCATGTTATTGGTTGAAAAGTAGAGGTGTGAAATTTTCAGTGAAATTAAAAAAAACTTTTTTTGCCGATCTTAATAGCCTACCATACCTGTTGGTATGTCTGTCTGTCCGTCTGTAACACGATAACTCAAAAACCGCTTAACCGATTTTAACCAAATTTGGCACAAAAATACTGTGACACCCGAGAATCTGGCCATTAGTTTTTGGTAGGGGTGGAGGGTTGGTAAGGGGGTATGGAAGGGGGCTAAAAATTTTTAAAAATCGTAACTCCAAAATTACAGCAGCTAGAGAAACGCGGTTTTCAATTTAAGATTAGGAATAATATTTGCAACAAAATTTGTAATAACATCAAAATCAAAGTCGCAGTTTTTGAGATAAAAAAAATTGGAAAAATTCCTTTACTTTGAAACTAAAAGAACTGCCTACCAACTTTTTATTAGCATATTTTAGTATGAGCGGCTATACGTGCCTCCCGGCGCCAATTTTTATTTAATATTATTACCCAAAATCTCTATTTTATTTCATGGTTGTTAACTATAAAAGATAGAGGGAATCATGGTATCTTAATTTCCGTTAATAATGACCCAAGCGAGTTATGACTAAATATTTATGGTTAGGGTAACCAAAACGATATAAGCTTATGTCAATTCAGTAAGAAATAAAAATTATTATTTATTTAATTAAAAAAAATACAGAGTAGCGCAAGACATGAGATTTAAAATAGAGAATATACAACAAAAAATTAAGATACTTTGAAATTAATAAGTTTTTTTTCTTATAAACCTCTTACCTTTAATTTGTTCAGGTGCATAGTTCACACCACCAAGGTCCAGCCTTCCTTGTACACTGGTAGTACCGTATTCACCCTTCTGAAGCTGAAGCTCTATCCTTCTTGGCTCTTTCCACTGAAGTAATGGCGCTTGTATTTCTTTACCTCCCCCTTGCTTGAGCCTCGCAGCCACGCTTTGTGAGATTATATCCAACAAAATCCCCCTTTTCTGTATGTTTTTAGCGGGCAGTTCTTCGGATTCTTCCGCTGAGGTCAGCGCGAGAAGTACCACCAATATAGAAATCTGTAAAATATTCAAAAAATAACCGTTTTGTGGGTGTCGAATAGGGGCACGCTACTTACTTTGAGAACAAACATGATGTCTGTCGCTAGATTGAATAAAATATGGAAAATTTCAGGTGGTAATATTCGGGTGATATATATAGAAGTACCCTTCCAAATTGCGCGGGTATTTTTGCACCCAGATTTCGAGATCGTAGACTATGAGAGTATGTAGATACGGAAACTGGGGCACGGTGCTGTTCTGGTTTTGTTTTAATGAAATGTATTTTTTTAAATATCTGTGTGAATATTTACAGTATTTTAGAGGTCCTGCATTCTTAAAATATGTATACAGGTGTTGTCATAGATAAACTTTGGTATTTAAAAGTGCCAATAATATACAGGGCGGTCCGAACTGTATTCCGGAAACTTCGGCAGCATATTCTGCAGATAGAAATAAGTAAAAAAGTTTGTATAAATGTATGCCCTAAAATGCTTGGTTTCGGAGATACAGGGTGTAGAAGTTTCATTTTTATTTCAATTTTTTTCAAATAATTTCTGAAGTAACGTCAATATTTGGATGAAAATTGGTGTCTGGGAGTTTTTTGACATGAAAAATTTGATTTTGATGTCAACATGACTCCTACTAATAGAGGGCGCCACATACATATTTTTTAACTGGTTTGAAGAACTAATAACTTTTCGTTCGTACCTGTATAAAACTACTGTTTATTTTGCCTCTTTACATAAAACACACATTTTGAGTGAAATTAAAAAAACTTTTTTTTTGCCGATCCTAATAGCCTACCATACCTATTGGTATGATCGGCTAAAATTTGATCTGGAATATATTGAAAAGTATCAATATGCATCCTACTGCAACAAAACCCGCCTTAAGCCGGAGTCTCATGCATCCGAAATCCGATGGTACGACATCCGAAATTTGAAGTTATCGTGTGAAATAAAAAAAGCCTGTCACATACATCCGAAGGTTCGTTCCGAAATTTGACAGTTTTAACATTTTTCTGCTGCGCTGAATAGAGATTCATGTCATGTTTTATTGGAGAAACACTTATAAAAATAACTTCCTCGCCAAATATCCCGAAATTGCCCACTTCCCACTAAACTTGTTTTTAAAAACAAATGTTTTCAAAAAAAGTGAGGTTAAAAAACACACGATATCGTACAAAAGTTAAACAAAATTTAACTTTATACGACGTCGGATGGTTAGTTAAAATTATCGGATAAAAATTGTTGTCAATATATTTCGACCAATAGGAGCACCGTCGGATCGTCGTGTCATCGGATTTCGGATGCATGAGACTCCGGCTTTATCCGAATTATTTTTGTGTCGTTTCTCTTTAAAAATTAAATATTAATTTTTATTTCTAGAAAAATCAGATACAAAACAATGATTCTACTCAATGGACATGTTTTTTTTTGTAAAATAACGCTTCAAACATTTGCTGGATTGGATAAGACATGTCTTATCCAATCCAGTGTCGACCTGTCGACAGGTTTTGCAACTTGACGCCTCAATCCAAAGGTCGGTAATTACTACTGTCTTGAGGCAATACAGATTTTTCATTAAAATTTTCTTTTCTGTGTTTCTTTATCATATTATCAATAAGAGAACGTACCATCATTATTATTTGACAATACAGAATATCTACATCATCATCATCATCATCATGTAGCCATCGTTGTCCACTGCTGAACGTAGGCCTCCTCCATATTTCTCCATGTCTCTCGATTTTGGGCCGTCATCATCCAATTTCCAGCAATCCTCTTTACATCATCGGTCCAGCGTGTCGGTGGTCTGCCTCTGCTACGTTTATCTGCTCGAGGTCGCCATTCTAACAATCTTCTAGTCCACCTGTCTTTAGATGTTCTCGCCACATGACCTGCCCATCTCCATTTCATTCGAGTTACGTGTTCCACTATGTCTTTAATTTTGGTTTTTTGTCTGATAGTGTTATTAGGGATTTTGTCTCTTTTAGTTATTCCAAGCATGGCTCTCTCCATGGCTCTCTGGGCTACTCTTAAATTTTCTCCATATGTAATTACCGGCAAGACGCATTATTCATAAACTTTCCTCTTCAAGCATATGGGTATATCACTTTTAAAGGTCTCCCGCAGTTTGCCAAAAGCAGCCCAACCCAAACCTATTCTGCGCTGTATCTCGTGTGTTTGGTTGTTCTTTCCGATTTTTGTATTTCGTGCCCGAGATATTTGTATATATGTGTTTCTTTTATGTCGGCGTCTCCTATTCTGATGTTCTGTGTCAGCACTAAGTTTGTCATTATTTGCGTTTTACTCGTATTTATCCGGAGACCGACTTTTAATGAGGCCTGCACTAATTCTTCAAGCATCTGCTTTGAATCTCCGATGTTATCTGAGACAAGGACGATGTCATGGTATAAAGAAAACAAGGTACGATCGATAGCGGTTCCAGTCTCGTTAAGTTTGCGCATACCACCTGTGACGTCATACGCCATACAAAAAAATATCCATATTGTGCAATTGCCACTAATAAAAAAAAACCCTAACCCCAAAAGTTATGTCAAATCATCGAGCTTGACATTTAAAAAACTATTTTCACATTTATTGTGTCATCTGTTTGACAATTTGAAATTGGCGCGCGGAACTGTGCCGTTTATCACCTGTGACGTAGTGACCAACCTGCGCAATATTATTCCTTGTATTATTTGTATCATGGGACGATGTCATCTGCGAATCTGAGATGTGTCAACCTTTCACCATCGATATTCATGCCCCTATTCTCCCAAGAGAGTGATTTCATTGCGTATTCAAGGACAGCTGTATCTACATATTTTGGTATAATATATTAACTAAAAAATGTGTCTTTATAACTAAATTTTGATGATATAAGCAAATCAATATTTTTAAACCTAACTTTTCTGTATACCGGGTGCGTCTCAAAAGAGGCTCACTCTCATAACTTTTTTATTTTTTGCGTTAAAAAAACGAGATTTGGTATATTAGTATATGACATAAATTAGGATTGATTGACGTATTCAGTTGTTTTCGGTCACTTCCTCTGTTTCACCGGAAATGACAATTTTTGATTTTTAAATGGCACCCTCGGTATATTTTTACTTTATTCGATCGAAATTGACACTCTGAATAGAATAGCATATCATATGTCAACTTTTGATATTTTTGCATATGGTTAATTTGAAATTATAACATACGACTCATAACAAAAATTTGACTCGAAATACCAAGTATGTGGTATCAAATTATTCGTAAAAAATGCTTTTTCCAAATATGCCAATGAGCCACCCTCGTTGCATTTGAAAAAATTGAGATATAATTAAAAATACGATTTAGTCATCTTTAAACCGGCTATTTTTCCAAGGCTCCTTGATTAAAAATTAGTGTTTTTAACATAGCCATGGCCATTCTAGATTAAAATTTAAAATACTATTTTTTATTAAGCGATAATGTCAAAATTTGACATGTGATAGTAATTATATTCAGAATGTCATTTTCTATCGAATAAAATAAAAAAATACCGAGGGGGTCCCATTTAAAAATCAAAAGTTACGGTAAAATAGAAAGTAACCAAAACAATTGAATACGTCAACCAATCCTGATTTATGTAACATACCAAATCTCGTTTTTTTATCTGAAAAAATAAAAAGCTATAAGGGTGAGCCACTTTTGAGACGCACCCGATATAAGAAAAAGAGTACTATTAGAATAACCCTCATTTTTTCAAAAATGAGGGAGATTCCTATTTATTAAAATTAAATGATTGAATTGATGAATATTTTGTTCAAATCCGTTTTATCTAGGGACAAATTTGTTTCAAATTATTAAATCTATAAACTTCGATATCTACAGAAATACTAAATTATTAAGTCCTAAGCATTTTTATCAAATGCCGATAAAATAATAGTGCTAACGCTAAATCTGGGGTAAAACACTTTTACAATTCACATAAATGCATACATTTACGTATTTCTCGCTTTTTTTAAGAATGTCTGTCTGCTGCTGTTGCTTGACACACATGTTTTAAATCAAAATTCATTGCGACAAATTTTCGCTTGTTGAAAACCAGATACCGTGTGATCGAAAAAAAAACGGCGTCCAAAACGGCTGGGAATGACAATCGATGATAATTTTGTCGATGTCAGTCTCGTCAGACGTCATTTACTAAATTAATTTTTTTTAAATAATTTTTTTAAACTACACCTTTTAAAAATAATTTTTACTCAATATAAAAATAAATTGCAGTAAGTCAGTAAGCACCATTAAAGGATACGGGGTAAGTAACTGGCGTCTAGGGCTTGACCTTGCCAAAATTATCATCGATTGTTATTCCCCAGCCGCCTTTGACGCCTTTTTTTTTGATAGTATGTTATCTCTACTCAAACAGAAAAAAAATATTTTTTTAAACTGCTACTGGGTAGAGTCTAAATGGGAACCAGCTGGTCAGTGGGTTTTTTCTTATAAAAAAACTTTGATTAATCAACAAAAATCGTCTAAAGTTTAAGAGGGTGTATCCATTAGAGTAACTAGCAATTCATCCTGGGGGGCTGTGGTTGAGACCAGGGGGGACCTAGGGCTTTTGTTTAAAAAAAAAATTAAAAAACACATTTTTTGAATAAAACGTTTACATAAATTTCTCTATCAATAAATTTCATAGATTTGGTTATCAAACCGTGTCCCGTAGATTACTTAAATACCTACAAATTTTCTAAAAAAATAAAAATTAACACATTTTTTGAACATAACTATATAATATTAACTAAATAAAACTAGAAAACGTGATTTTTACTACATCACAAGCAAATAAAAATTAATACGTAACCAAGAGTCATAATTCACATTTTTCTGGGGGGTGCTCAGCAGTACATAGGGGGTAGGGGCCGGCACCCCCGGGCACCCATGTAGTTACGCTAATGGATGTATCTCCAATAGTCGTACAGAGAAGTATTTCGGTCTTAAGCGGGGTCCACACGTAACAACTTCCCGTACGATTTGTTTGCCTTGACAAATTGTGGCAAATAAAACGTACAAATCAATTTGTGTCTACATTACAACAACTTTTCATACAGTTTTCTGTATTATGTCATATTTTCATGGAGAAAATACTGTTGTGAGTAAAAATTCGCTGTGGCCCTAACCTGCGATTGCGATTTTAATATTTTTAAATTGATACACTGCAAAGATAATATACTATAGGGTGAGCATTTCTGGCCTTGGGTGCCAATTTTCGTGTGTACGAAGAGTCAACCACGCTTACTAAAATAAGAAGTACTGAATAAAGAGTAATAAAGACCGAAGGCAAGTGCGGGTTATACCTTTGGGTATTCCCAGTACTGGCTCTGGACTAAGATTGGAACTCTGGACCAATTCATATGATTTTTGTCTTGCCTGTTTCAGCTTTTTTGTTTAACCTAGAATAATTTTATAGTAATTTTACTAGCAATTTAACTGATTTATTTTTACTATTTTTTTTGTTTAATTAAAGACTGTTGTGCATCCTAATAATTATAAAAAAGTATTACCCTATAACCCTTTATAGACCAGCCGGGTATAGTTTCTTTAATTTATTGTTTGTTGTTGATTGGTTAATTAATAAGTGCAATATTAGTTACTAATTTGATTCATCTATTAGTCTAATTTGTAACAAAGCAGAAATTTAAAAATAACATCGTGATTTATTCAAAATTTCAAAATTTCTCGAGATATTCGGGTTGACAACAGAGATGACATTACGCCTTTGAATAAGAAGAATAAGGAAGGAGCTTAAAGCTATCCATGTATTCATGCATGGTGGGCGGAAAAAGCGCCATAAAAGCTCTCTAGGGTGGGGATCCTTGACAGTTCTGTTTGACGATTTATTTGACACATTTGAATTTGATTTGAAATTTTGTGGATTTGTCAGTCTTTACAGAGCTTATTTTATGTTATTTATTATTTATTCTACTACTGATAGTTGTATAAAGGTAGAAAATCTAGATGGAAATTGTGGCAGCACTTAAATTAACAGTGACACTAACGCGATTTATCGAAAAAGACTCAAAAATAGTTGGTTGTGTAGCGTGCGGTAGATCTCGGCAAAAATTGAGTGAAATAATGGAACAACTTTTCGCTAGTAAGTGACTATATAATATACCGTATGATCGAGAAAAAACGGCGTCCAGTTGGCTGGGAAATGAAGATCGCTGTCATTTTATATGTAAATTTATATGGGAAATGTCATCGATCGTCATTTCCCAGCCAACTGGACGCCATTTTTTTTCGATCATACGGTACATACGTGTAGTAAACCGATCATTTATGAAATTCACTTAAATTAACTAAATTATATATTTTTCTTGCATTTTAGCTTTTATATATTACTTGTCAAAGATTAGATGTCAAAGAATTTAGATACGTTAATTTGACTTACCTGCTTCAGTAGCGTATCGGATGTTTGTGGTAATAAATACTTATTATAACTTATCTATTTTTATTAGAATTATATATTTTTATAACAATTTTAATAACTACCAACATTTATTCACAACGTAAAATAAAACAACAAATTATTGAGTCTACCCCACGTCTACCCTACATCATAGTTTTACATTTTTTAAATAAAATTAGAACGACACTGATAAACCGGAATTTAAATCGGCCATATTTGAGGCCCATCGCCAAGATTTTTGATATGCTCCTTCCTTAGTCTTCTTATTCAAAGCATTACGCTTATAAATTTTTTGATCATCTATATGTCAAATTAAAGCTATTTTTATTCTGTACAAAATGTTAGAAGGGTATCTATCAAGAAGTTGGCGCAAATAGGGGTTGCCAGATTTCAAAGTTCTTCCTACGGGCCCGGCAACAGTGCGTCGAGCCTCTTAAATTTTAAATCTCTAGCTCCTATAATAAAAAAAAATTGAGGAATTTTGTATAAATGTCAACCTAAAGTTTGTGTTAGGATGTATTTCAGGAAAATATTTTAACTTCTACATGGTGGCTCAAAAAAGTACGAGTGGATCGGTACAAACACCCTGTATATTATTGCATATTTGGCTTCTCTTCTGATCACTTTACATAATCCTAAGATATTATTAAATATGTTTCGATAGTTTCAAAAATATTAATAAATAAATGAAAAAAAGAAGTGTTTTCAGCCTTTTGACTTCTGAATGCTTACATTGAAATTAGAGAAACAAAGAGAATGAAGGTTCTGAATGAAGCTTTTATAAAAAAATACTTTTTGATTTTTCTGTATTAATTTTTAATGTAACTTCTAGTTTGTTAAACCACGAACAGGCAAAATATCTTCAACAATCCTTTCAAATTTTCAATACTACAAAATTATCGTTCTTGTTATACTTCAAACAAAATAAAATAAAGAAAAACAAACGATATAATTGCTTCTAATATGAGTTTAGCTTTATAGCCTATTACCGTACATATTTCTAAGACTTATGAATTATGCATTAGATTTTGTAGGCCGTTATTACCTAACATTCTAATAATAATTAACATTACTCTGTATCGGACTGCAATAAATCACAAGCGTAACCGAAAAGTAAAAGAACTTTTTATTGCATAAAACCAGAAACAACACGTCGCGCCATCTATCGAGATCTACGTGAAACTATTTTTTTTTAGTTCGGCGCGCAACTCACAGATGTCGCTAGGTGTAATACTATACTTTTTACCCCTTTTTACTTCAGAGACTTATTGCATTAGAATTACGTAAAATAAAAGGAAAAAAAAACAAAAAATAAGGTTTTTACGCTTGGTAGTTATAGCGAACGTACATGTAAGTCTCTTTTGCAATTTTCGTACGTTAGGAAAAGTTTCACAATAAATTTTCCTTTCATTTTCAATACGTGCATAGTCGTTTCGCAAAAATATCTATGTCGCAATAAAAACCAGGAAAACTATAAATTAATACTTTATTTTTTTTACAAAAATAAGTTACAAGTAGTAGAAAAAAACTTAGCTTATTTGGCATAATCTTTCATGTTTTTTCATGGTTTATATAAATAATGAACATGTACAAAAAATAATATAATATATAACAGAAATTCGTTTCTTTCTTGAACAAAAAGTCCATTTAACACAGCTTGAAATTATTAGAGAGGAGAGTGTATAGTACAAAAGACAAAAGTGGGAGAGTTTGGAAAAAAGATAGTAGTGAAACAAAAAATACTTTTTTGAAGAAAAAAATTGAGTATTTACATATTGATTCTTGCTTCTTCATTAAAGTATTTTTTAATTCCACCGTTCTAACAATGGTTTATGTTAGTTTAAAGGAAGAAAACAAAACAAAACATGACTTTTTAGACTTGGAAAACAAAAAAAAAAGATTTTAAAGCACACACAGTGTGATTTACTCGGTCTAGTCGAATTTAGTGACCGTAGTGTCCTCCGTATTCTCCACCGTATCCACCTTCATATCCTCCTCCGTATCCACCTCCGTATCCACCTTCAGAGCCTCCTTCGTAGCCTCCATGGTGTACTGGTACTGCTACTGGTACCTTAACTGGTACAGGGTAGGGTTTCTCGACTGGGTAGGGTACGGGTTTGGCTACAGGGTAGGGTACGGGCCTGTCTACTGGTACTTTAACTGGGTAAGGTACTGGTTTTTCTACGGGGTATGGTACGGGCTTTTCTACGGGGTATGGTGCTGGTACTGGTACCTAAAATCATTAAAAAATATTTAGTAATAGTGAAATTAGTTTATTTAGAATTGTTGAGTGAAAAATGTTTATAGAGAGTTCTATTTTAGGCTTGGATATAACATGAACGTCTCTATAAAATCACTTTGTTTAAAAGCCTTAGATAATATAGAGTACCCAGAGATATACCATAGATATACAGTACCCAGAGATATACAGTGTTTACGAAAAATGTTGCATCTAGGGTTGGAACTTTATTTTTCACAATTAGTTACTCATTTTACTACTGCTGTAACAGATTCTTAAATAACTGTCTAACAGAAATGAACATTATTCAAGAACTTAGATATATTATGTTCGTTTATTATTTTATTTCTTGTTCAAAACGGCAACACTGTATGCCGTTTTTTATTTTGTCTCTCTGTCTGTCAGCTGGTCGTATATATTTATCTCTATCGTTTGCATTAAAATAGAGACCACGGAAATAAAATGACCACGGCTAGTATAAAGGTAGAGAGAGAATTATGCTATGATTGCCGCCATGCTCGCGCTTAAAACTACAGGGGAGATCAATAAGTAATAATGACAGCTGATAACTGAATTTCTAGATCTAGGTTTTACGAGTTTGATATGTGTTCTAATGTTTTGTATTTTTTTTACTTATAGACAGATTTAAACATCTTTTTTGGTTATATCTCTGAGTGTACGAGAATTACCTCATAATTTTGACGTCATTTTAGAAGCGGCAAATTTAAAAATGAAGGCATACATTTTTTTAATAAGCAACCAAAAATACTTTTGACTATTGTAATGATTTACAAGCTACATGAAAAGTATTAGAAACGTTTATTAAACTTAATTTTTTAAGAAAATTATGCAGTTTATTATTTATACCGGTTGAATCTCAAAAGTGGCTCACCCTTATAACTTTTTTATTTTTTTAGTTAAAAAAACGAGATTTGGTATGTTAGTCTATGACATAAATTAGTTTTGATTGACTTATTCAATTGTTTTCTTTCACTTCCGGTTTCACCGGAAATGACTACAACTTTTGATTTTTAAATGACACCCCCGGTATTTTTTTACTTTATTCGATAGAAAATGTCACTCTGAATAGAATGACATATCATATGTCAACTTTTGACATTTTCGCATATCATTTATTTGAAATTATAACTTGCGGTTCGTAACGAAAATTTGACTCGAAATACCAAGTGTGTGGTATCAAATTATTCGTAAAAAAATGCTTTTTCCAAATATGCTAATGAGCTACCCTCGTTCCATTTGAAAAAATTGAGTTATGATTAAAAATACGATTTGAGCATTTTCTAACTGGCCAGGACAAGACACTAAAAACATTAGACGATCATATCTATTTTTCCAAGGCTCCTTGATGAAGAATTAGTATATTTAATATAGCCATGGCACTCTTGATTGAATTTTAATATACAATTTTTTATTAAGCGAGAATGTCAAAAAAATGTCATTTTCTTTCGAATAAAGTAAAAAAATACAGAGGGTGCCATTTAAAAATTAAAAGTTGTAGTCATTTCCGGTGAAACAGGAAGTGACCAAAAACAATTGAATACACCAATCAATCCTAATTTATGTCATATACTAACATACCAAATCTCGTTTTTTTTGTGTCTCATTGTCAATCTGTTGACATTCAAATAACATCAAAATAGCCTAATATTCCGTAATTTTTTTAAATTTATTACAAGATGTCACCAGTTTTTACCATTTTGACTGCAAAATTAGTGGATAAAGCAAATTGTGGTACTATATATTATTATCTAGGGGCTTTAAGATTGTTAATATTAATATTTAATTTGAAAAGAAGAGAACAAAATACACAGTAGCATGAGCATTAGAAGTTAATAGATTGTTAAGCTATGGTCTCCATAAGTCAAAACCACTATTAAAAAATCTATTATGCTTCATTCAGAATCCCAAAATTGGTGGAATATATTAGTGGTAAAATTTTGTTCCTCTAATTTCAATGTCTTTCAGTGATTCAGAACGTCAAATTTAGTGGTAGTAATTTACAGTTAGTAGAAAAAATTTACAAACTTTTAACATTTACCACTAATTATACTTAAAAATTTGCTAGTAATGTTATTTTGGTCTTTGATTGTTATCCCTCAAAAGAAATAGACGTTAAAAATAAACAGTTTATTTATTGTTTTATAAGCTAATTATTAGGTTTTCTCTATGGATACAACAGACTAGTCCAAGCTGTTGCTAGGATATTCTATTAATTTTAATTGATATTTTTTAGACATTGCGAATGATCGTAAACTAAAAAGTATAAAATATAATTGAAACCACTAATTTATTCCAGTAATTTCGAGGTTCTGATTGAACATTTACTTCTAAATGTTATTTTTTTTATTATTAAAAATCATTCATTACCTTAACTGGAACTGGGTATGGCTTCTCAACTGGGTAAGGCACTGGCTTCTCAACAGCTACTTTAACAGGGTAAGGTACGGGCTTCTCGACTGGGTAAGGCACTTTCTTAACAACATGGACTGGATAAGGCGCAGGTACGTGCACAGGGTAAGGCCTGTCTACTGGTACTTTAACTGGGTAAGGTACTTCCTTGTATACAGGGTAGGGTTGAGGAACATGGACGGCAACTTTGACTGGGTATGGGACAGGTTTCTCAACTGGGTAGGGTTGTGGTACTGGAACCTTAACGTGGACTGGGACGTGTTTGATGACTGGGTATGGAGCGGGTACGGCTACTTTGACTGGGTAGGGTTTCTCGACGGGTACGTGAACGGGAACATGGACGATCTTTTCGACGGGGTAGGGTTGGGGTACTGGGTATGGTACCTTGACTGGTACTTTTACTGGTACTGGAATGTGTTTTTCAACGGGGTAGGGTTGTGGAACTGCTACTTTGACTGGGTAGGGGACGGGTTTAGCGACGGGGTATGGGATGTGTTTTTCTACAGGGTATGGCACTGGTACTCCCTTGACTACGGTCACAGTCTTGACATGATGATGACCTAAAAAAAGACAATAAATTAAAATTAATAATAGCAAAAATAATATTAAATTAAACTGAATATTTTTTTTCGTTATCCTTGTTTTCAGCAAAATATTAAAGCCTATCTAAAACTTAATCCTCTTTATAAACATAATTTACAACAAACAAAATAAAAGACCCACAATTCTTTTTCAAAATTTTGAAACTTTGAGATTTCACAATTAAGTACAAAAACAAAATACTCACCAAGGTCAATGCCACCTCCGTAGCCTCCGTATCCTCCGTAACCTCCACCTCCTCCAAGTTCAAGCCCGTGGAAACCTCCAGCACCTACGGAGTACCCGTGGTCGAATTCGGCACCGTATCCGTATCCTAGACCGAGCAAACCGCGCTTGGTTTGCTTCTTATCGCTGGCTACTGCCGATTTCTTCTCCTCGGCCTCGGCGCTCACCGCCACTGCAGCGAGGACTAAGATCGACAGTAGAATCTACAAGAAAAACAAAGAATTTAGTAAAAAATTAAGTTTCCTTAGAATTGCGGAAAAGTGCACAATCTGGCAGCACCGTAAAATATTTTCCTTAAAATTTAGGATAAATGAGAAAAACTGACAACGCTGTAAAATTGTTATATTTAAGGTCGTATAATAAATCGTCAATCTGGCAACATTGGTTAAATAATTGAAAAATTCCTTCAAAAAAATTGACTTAAAATGGACAATTTTTCGAAAAAATTACACAATGTGACAAGGTTTTCCATGGTTGCCGATGTCGAAAGAAAGAATCAAAGAGAATTCGTAAAAATTATATGGTATTAAAATAAATTTAAATGCCGGCACTGTATGTATAATTATTTAAAAAAAAGGATATTGGCAAAGAATTTGTGTTGTAAAATTGTGATTGCCGTGTACGCAGTAATTTAGCAGTAAATTCCAAATGTCAAGTTTCTTCAACAAATTATACTTAATTATTTCAAAATTAATATGTACCTTTTACATATATATATGTACAATATTGCTTTGACAAAAGTATTTTTATCTTTAAAGGAATAATATCTGCAATCACAAAAAGTTAAAAAACGCACAATTAATTGCATATTAGATTATAGTTGTGATTGAATCAGTACAAAATAAGAAGTAGATACTTCAAGAGCTTGTTAGTTTTTTAGTAATTGTAATTTATTGAATATATACCAGGTGTTTCATTAGACAGGCCAAAATTCTATCAAGTGCCTTATGTTTTATCTGTATACTATAACAGTTCTTATAAAATATAAAATACTACTAAAATAATTAACTTTATTAGTCAATAGAATAAAATAATGAATATCTGATAATTTCGTTTTAAAGTCCAGATTATTTGGTTGCCTAATAATAATGATGAAATTATGAATAACTTTGAAAACATAACAAAGAAATGTATATCATATCCAGTTAGGTTCAGGAAAGTGAAAGTTAATTTTGTGAAAATTATAATAATCCAGCAACTAAATATACATATTGATATCGCCATCTAGTACCAAGGCTCTGAAAGATATATCCTAGTGCATTATTTCCTGTATTGCTAGTTGCATACCTACATTATATCATTATTCATATCATATTATATTATTATTATTATAGGGATCAAATTTCATCAACTGTTAAATCGATTGGTCTTTATCATTTGAGATCAGTTTTCTTCAATACGAAGTTAGCCGGATAAGCTAGTATCATATAAAGTGTCAATCGATTGACAATGAGTTGGCAGGCTGTACTGAATAGGCTGTGATGACACCACTCAGCGAAATCACGCTAATAGATTATATTCTTAGAAAAATATACAAAGTATGGTTTAACCAGATCAATTTTTAAACTAATTTAAAAAAAAACACAATCTATCTCTTCCTGTTCGTTGTTTTTTAAACGACTCATCAACAAATTAAAAACAATCAACAACACAAAAAACCTAAGAGAATGCATTTCTTGGAGACCAATTAGGTAAACTACAAAAACCAACAAAAATTAACGTAACGGTAAGCATTTAAATAAACATTGACACGACATTGACATTGACTTAAACAGAGTAATTGTCGGATTAGCCGATTTGCCACAGACCTATTCAGCTAGAAAACCGTAACTTTTTGTTGTTCTCTTAAAATATGATTGTGGTTTTTTCGATCTTGAACAGGATCAAAGCCGTACGATACACTTTTACTTTTCTTTTAAAATCGACCTTTGCCAGAATCGAGATGTCTGAGATGAAAAAAAGGAACAAAGATTGTACAGGGTGGCTCAAAAAAACACAATTTTTAAATAGATATATCATAGTTAATATTTAATCTATGAAATTTTGGATTCTAGAATACATATCTGCAACTAAAGGATCGTCTACGCATAACATTTTACCTGTCGGTCTTTCATGTTCAGACAAAACATATCAAGTAAAACCTAGTCTGTAGACAAAAAAACGGTCCTTTTTACTTGAACTGAATTAACCCTTTATACAGGGTCTAGAAGTGTCATTTTTATTTCGATTTTTCTAAATAATTTCTGAAGTAACGTCAATATTTGGGTGAAAATTGGTGTCTGGGAGTTTTTTGACATGAGAAATTTCATTTTGATGTCAATATGATTCCTACTTGTAGAGGGCGCCACCTACATATTTTTTAACTGGATTGAAGTTTAATAACTTTTCGTCCGTACATGTATAAAACTACCGAGTAAAAAAATATAAATGTATCACGTTTTTTACGTAAAAAAAGTATCTTAGTAAAAATCGATACGAGTAATGGTTCTCGAGATATTTAGAATCGAAATTATCAAGACCTGTCATAATTGACATAAATTAAACATGTTGACTAAATAGTTATTAGACAGATATCATAAATTTAAGATTTAATTAAGAAAAATAAAAAGTTCCCAAATTTTTCTACATCCTGTATCTCCAAAACTAAGTATTTTCGGACATACATTAATACGAACTTTTTTACTTATTTTTATCTGCAGAATATGCTGCTGAAATTTCCGGAATACAGTTCAGACCACCCTGTATACATTAACATGAAAATTGTAAAGTGTACCCCGTGATGTTTTTATTATTTAAATTATTGAAATAACTCATCTGAACTGAAGGCACCCGGTATATTCTATTAAATAATAGTATTACTTTTTTATTACCCGCTGTTTTTTTAATGCTGTTCAAGTCAAGCAAAACGAATTACATGGCTATTCACGGTAATAGACTAATCAGAAACAAACAGTACGGTCAGAGCACTTTCTTTTTTTCTCGCATTTGCATAAAATGCATTTAAATGCTACATATATGCATGTTTATTTATTTTTCGCTCTTATCTGTTATCAGAGAAGAGTTGCGAAAATTAGAAAATGGCCTAGAATATGCTTAGACATGTTTGAAAAAAAATGCTTTCTTTAAATTTTTGTGGTGTATCTTTTAGTAATAATATGAGTATTAATTAGTGTTACATTTTACTAATACTCATGTGATAGATTTTTTGAAATAAAACTACACTCACCTGTAGGAAAAAACAATATTTTAAAGTTTTATATATTATGTTCTAATGGACCGATTTTGATGATTTTTTTGATCAAGTTGTAGCTAAATTATTTGATTTTATAGTATCTCTTTCTAAATTAAAAATGAAAGTTGCTATCTATCAATTATACGAGGAAAAACAAAATGATGTTATTTTGGTGAAAGTTTGAAACACCCTGTGGAGTACGTTAACGAAGTAAGCAATTTTAAGATTATTTTGTCGATAGTTTGTTTTTTGATTCATCTCAAAAGCTTTATTTTTTGTGAAAATATTTGCTTTTGAAGAAGACACTAACTAGATTTAGAGAAAGCCTATGACACGGTGCCTTTGAAGGAATTATTTGAAATCTTGGTTGACAAATGTGAGTAAAACATATATCAATGCAATCTGGAATATGTACAAAAATCCAAAAAATATGATCAGACAGGGGAAGTTCCTATCGGAATCCTTCCTGACATCAAAAGGAAGACAGGGGTGCGGTTTATCACCTACCTTATTTAAATTATATATCCAGGAGGCATTGAAAAACTGGAGAAAGAAGAGTAGAGCTATGGGAATAGAGATTGACAACCACTGTGTATCGACCTTGTTTTTTTGTAGACGACCAAGTTATCATTGCAGGTTGTGAGGAGGATGCCGACTATATGTTCAGGAAACTTGAGGAAGAATACGATAGATGGGGACTCCATATCAACCTCACAAAAACCGAATACCTGAAAGTAGGAGAAGAACAAACCGAAGATTCTGAACTACACATACATGAAATTAAAAGGTGTAGCGAATATAAATATTTAGGAAGTATTATATCTGAAGAAGGGAACTCCAAGAAAGATATACATAGCAGAGTTCAACAAGGGAAGAAAGTAATCGGTCTCTTTTAAACCCTCTCCTGTGGTCAAATAAAACATCCATCCAAACAAAGTTAAGGATTTACAAAGCAATCGTAGAGCCAATTTTAACATACGGTGCCGAATGCTGGCAATTTACAGCAAAAAAAAGAAGGATGGTCGAGTCAGTGGAGATGGACTTTCTCAGAAGAGCATGTGGAATATCAAGGATGGAGCACATTAGAAATGAGGAGATTAGGCAAAGAACAAGGCGAATATATACCAGCACCGACAACATCGAATCGAGACAGCTACTATGGTATGGGCACGTAAAAAGAATGGGAGGGGAAAGGTGGCCAAAAAGGGCAATGGAGTATCGTCCCCAAAGCAGAAAGAAAAGAGAAAGACCTACAACTACGTGGTTAGATGGAGTAGACCAGTACATGAGAGATAGAGCTATTAACCAGGAAGAATGGCAAAATCGAGCAATATGGAGGTCGAAATGCGGGATGCGGCGGAAGCTGTAGGACCCCCGCTTGATATATAAGATTTCAAATAAGTAAAAGAAGAAGAAGAAGAAAATCGATATAGCCAGATATTCCAATCATTGTTGCTGGCTCCGTATATTATTTCTGATAATTGATTATTTGTCTGAGATTTATCCTAATATGTAAATATATTAATTGAAAATCTATTAAACTACTATAACACAGTGACAGATTCAATTAAAACGCTTGAAAATTGAAACGTAATTACAAAATCTATCTCCGTCTAATTAAAATCCGAATAATTATCGACCATTTTTCACATTAACAAGTTTTGTAAGAAATAATTGAAAAATGAAAATTGTTACCATTACGACAACTGGGTCACTGAGAACCAGATTCATATATATAATTCATTTAAAGCCACTTGTACGTCTTGCAAATATCTATATAATGAGGAAATAATAAACTCGCTGGTACTTACATGGCGGTACTACTTTATGTAAGTAGGGTATTTTTCGATAGAGTCGAGAAAATTGAGGAAATGCCGCACAATTAATGGTTAATAAAATAAGTTATTTTATGTTATAAAATTTTTCGTGAATAATAATAATAATTAACCTTATTAGGTGTGTTCATTTTATATGTCTCAATGTCAATAGTTAACTGATAAAAAATTTGTGAATTATAATGAATAAATGTCAATAACGAATTGATTAGAGAGAAAAGACGTTTTATAATACACAATATTGGAAATAGTAGAAGGATATACAGGGTGTCCCAGGCTGAGCGTGCATTAAAAGTTTCTAGAGAACCGTAATATCTAGATCAGAGATTTTTTGCCCATCATTGTTTTACAACGATACCGATTAAAAATATTTTCAATATGGCGGCACTTCTGGGAATACCGGAAGTTGACAACAACTTTCTTATTTTAAATGGGTGCCCCCATTTTTTATTACATACTTAAATTCTCTGTGAAATTCTATGATTATTGATGTTAAATACTCTATACCTAACATTAACCGTTTTTGAGAAAAAAAATATTTAAAATTTTTGGACGAAAAGAACTACATGTCAAAAAAATGTGTACTGCCTAAAAGTCAAATTTAGTGATTACCACAGGCACTGTGACATACAGAGAAGACATGTGGCTATAAATTTCAAAAATTAAATTGTTCTAATGTCATATAATGACGGCGGTAGATGTCATGGAATTTAGCGATTAAAAAATTATCATAAATCATTTTTTTTCAAATGGAAACAAACTTTTTTGTTTCACTAGTGAAAAGATTTTCCAATATATGTTCCTATATCTAAAAAAAAATCGGTAAAAAAACTTTTAAGTTAAACGGTTTTATCTTATGTGCACTGAAAACTAGAAAATAATAATAACAATTAATTTAATTTTGAACTTCTAGTTCAGAAATATTTTAGTACTAGGCAGAATAGCTTTTAGGCATATTAGACTAAAATAAAAACGTGGGGCCCCTCTGAAATCCTACCTATGGCAAAGCATATCTTTATACTTTGGTAGATCATGAGCTCGGCGTTCGCTGGTGAAGCCGCCACGGCTGGTTATTGATTGTCAAAATCTCCAGTTACGATTATACTAAGTCGATGCAATCCACACTTAGTATAGAAGAAAGTATTACAGCAATAGTTAATGGGCCCCACGTTTTTATTTTAGTCTAATATGCCTGTGGTCGGGCGGTGGTAATCACTAAATTTGACGTTTAGGCTATACACATTTTTTTGACAGGCATCAAAAATTTTTAAATATTTTTTTCCTCAAAACCGGTTAATGTCAGGTAAAGAGTGTTTAATATCAAAATTCATAAAATTTTACAAATAATTTAACTATGTAATATAAAACCTCATTCTAATTTAACATTTTAAGCCAATAATTTATGTACATCCTTTAATGCTGTATTGTTGTACTATAGTATATTAGTATTCCTGCAAAAATGCAAAATGAGATATTATGTGTTAATTTATACATTTTTATATACATTTATTTATATGGGTTAACGATATCTTTTACATTTGTATAACATCTATATTTAAAAAGAGAAATCAGTACAATATGTTACATATTCGTTGGAAAAAAAATTAAGTTAAAACAAACAAAACATTATGTTAATTAATTAGTTCTAATTAATTAATTTGGATATTTTAAGGACTCAAGAAAAGATTTTACAAAAATAAATATATAGAAAATCTGAAAGTAATAGATGAAATTGAGAGTATCGTATCACCTAGTAAGGTAATTAAATAAATTAGATTATTTACTTACAAGCTGTCATTAAATTTAAGAAATTACAATAATTATTGAACGTGTTGTGATTGCAAAAATTTAAATTTATTCAGCGAGAAAATTTAACGTACTTATAAGAATACATATTTGCAATTATAATTAGAATAATTACCATAAATTTGACTAATTAATACTTTATTTTGTATTTCCTTCATTACCAAATATATTTTACCCATATAACTGAAATAATTATAATTTTTTTGAATGTGTTACATAGGTATATTCTTTTCTCTAATTATTTAATATTTTTTTAGAAGTTACGAAGACCATATTTGTTATAAATTATTATTTTATATATAATTTTTTAGTGATATAATAATAATTATTGTACTTATGTAATTAGATTTTTGCTCACGTGTTTAACACAATTTTTTGAAAAAAGCTCAATTTTTTTTTAATTTCTGTTTTTGTCTTTTTGTGTAATATTGCGAATTTTGTTACTCAAATTTTATTATTTACTTAATAATTTTCCTATAAAAATATTTGATTTTTCAAATTTTAATTTTCCAGAAGAAAAATATATAGTGTTTTAAAAAAATATTATTTTGCAAAGTGGGCTACTTTATGCTTTTCTACTTTTTATTATTTGTGTTTTTTGTATTTTATTTGTTTTGTTTAATAATTAAATTTTTAGATATATAAAATTTTTTATTAAAAAATGTGTTTTTGAAAATACATAAATGTGATGTGCCTGACTGTTAAAAATAAATGATTTTTTTTGGAAAATACTCTAAAAAAACTCAATTTTCACAAAATTAATCTTAACAAAATCTGTATTTTAATTTTCTTTAAGTACTTATTAATTTTGATATAGTGTGATAATTTATTTATTTGTTAATTTATACAAAAAATATTTTTCTGGTTAATTTTTATTAATATTTTAAATTTAGAAACAAAAATAGTTTTTACAAAATAATTATTAATAAAAAAAAATAAAACGGAAAAATTAAAAAAAAATTAAAAACTTTTGTAAAAATTAATAAAATTAAAAAAAAACAAAATTATCAAACTTTAAAAAACACTTTTCTTTTCAAACACATCAAATTTGTAGTACCAAAATACGAATTAAAAAAATAAAATCACCAAAAATTCGAAAAAATTTCCCGATAACACTAAATAACAAAATCACTTTGTTCTGGATACCGCGTAATACCGCCGATTTTTCACTCAAAAATACCGCAATTTTTTCCCGCGTCGATTCTCTGTGTTATTTATGTTTGTGTTTGTGTATGTGTGTCGGACTCACCAATGGCTTCATGTTCGCACTCATGTACCAAATAAGGGTCGATGTTGGCTTCGTTCGAGGTGAACTGAATGGCTTCGACCAGCCCTCGATTTCTTTTATACTCGATGGACGCTTTCGCCGTTCGCGAGGTAGTACCGAAGCGGTGGTAGGTACCACCTCTGACGCGACGCCGCGACGCGCTTCTTGCAAAAGCTCCGCGCTGTGCAGAATTCGGTACCCGGCGTCGGTAGTACCGATTCTAACAGTTTTTTGGTTGTTCTTTAAAGATTTTGAATTATGTGAATGAAGTATCTTTAAATAAAAATGTTCTTTTTGGTAAGTTCTTTGATATTTTTAATAACTTTAACAAAAAAAATGCGCTCGCAAATAATTTTAACCCCATTACAGCCCTATATTTTTTATAAGTTGTTTTCGGATTTTGGTAAAAACTTTTGGGACATCTTAGACAAAACCAGACAATATCTTATCCTCTGTAAATTTTATAAAAATGATGAATATAAGTTTCACGTTTTAGTTTAGAGAAAGACTTATTTGAAATTTTTTAAAATGACGCAAATTGTTTATTTTTTAATAATCCATACGAATTTGTTTTTGAGTTACGAGAGATACAAAAATATTTTAGTCTTGGCTAAACAAACAAAATAATCACAAATTGTATCACAATTTGACAAATTTATTATGATTTTCTTCTACAGATCTGTCAAAAACATTCTAAATTATATTTTCTATAAAAAGTTACAAAGAAGACACTGTAAACATAATAGAGTATTTAAAAAATAAAATATATTTTACAGACAAATAAACACACTGTTTCAAAATAAAATTTATTTATTAAATATTAAACAATTGGCAAAGTTAATTACTTGTTAATTATAAAATGAAGAAAATTACCCTAGGTTCTTCAGTCCAATAATTCTTCGCGACCGGAATATTTAAATTATATGCTTCTCCAAAACTCGCCAAGCAGTGGTACGATGTATTTCGACTTTTTCTCCAAGTATTCTGGTACTTACTTGTTTTTCATCTTCCACTTGTATAATACTCATCAATATTCTTCTTCTTTTTACATTTATAGTCTTTAATAATAATTATTCTGGGCAATTTGTAAAATGTATAAAAAATAAATCTTACTAAGCAATATTTTTTTTCTTCACTGATATAATTCATAATTACAAATTATTTTTGGCACATATAAAGTGAATATGATATTTTTTTTAAATTACTTTTGGCAACAATAACACAATAACGTCAATTTGATATTAAAAAATTAAATTTGAAGGTGGTATGTTTCTTATTCCAATCAGGACAGGATTATTTTTTCAATTAATTTACTGTTTTTTTTTTATTTTTTATAACTCCAAAAGAAATTCGTAGTTTCGTAAATTCGTAAAAAGTTTTAAATTCATTTATTCATTTTTTTTGTAAAAAATGTGGTTCTTTTATTTATCGTTTTTGAAATTTACATGCGATGCAATAGACGCTATACAGATAAACAAAAGTTACTTAAAATATATAGTTTTGGTTTTAAGGGTAACCTTTACCCCTTTACACATGTTTCTGATTTTGATTGATTCTTTTAATTCTCGCCAATACCTTCTTTGTAAGAGAAGATGCAATTTTTTAAATAAAGTGTTTTTTTTTGGTAGTGGATACTGTTCTGTACATAATTTTTGGGAGAAGATAATGTTGTAAATATTGGTGATTCTGTTTGTTTTTTTAGACTATTTGGTAAGTTCGCAACTAGTTTGTTTATTTGAATCCAAAAAGACATAAAGAAAAATATATTTTCTCAAACTTTTTTAGCTTCACTTATACAGGGTTGTTCACCACATTCGACACGGAGTATTGTAGCTAAATGATTAGATTTTTACAAATTGTAAGTTTTGGGTTCGTTGAAGGACTATTAGAGCTACAATTTAAAAATATTTTTACAAGATACAGAGTGTGCCAAATATGTAAAAAATATTATAGTTGTATTTTTTTAAATGGAACACCCTATATATTATACAATTTTTAGATTCTACGAATGAAATAAAGGTAAATTTGATTAAGGTTTATCACACTTAAACCTTACCGTTTTTGAAATATTTTCAATTTTGTGAAATTGCAGTAAAAATTTAAGGCTTCGTTTCTCCAAGGGTATCAAAGTTTTTAATACTACATATTTACTGAAGATTCTTTATTGATCAGATATTGTGTTGCGATAATAAAAATTATACTTTCTTATACAGAGTGTCCAAAAATTTATGTTAAATAATGACTAGCTTTAAACGGCTGTAACTTGTTTAATTTAAATGGAACACCCTGTATATTTTACTTAATTCATATGCACTATTTAATTGTCTATCAAATTATATTATACCGTTTTTTACCTATCTCTTCAAGTTTTCGTAGAAAATGCCTTTTCTTATAATTTAGACCTCATTTATCACTATACCCATGGAATATTGACATTTTAGATTATTTTTAAAGATGTAACAAATTTTCAAAGAGTACAGATACTAATATTGTCGATATAGTTCGATTATTTCATTAAAAAATTAAAAAAAAAAGTTTAAATATTATTTGTTAAAAAGGACCAATTAATATGATCCTAGTATTCAGACTACATTAATTGACTGTTTACGTTGATTAGTCAATACTAAAAACTAAAAAAAAATCCAAATTCTAAAAAACTGAATTTTGCATGTGCATTAGACAGTATAAATTTTATTTTAATTTTTGGCGAATGCTTATTTTTATACCAGAGACGTTCATTTTCGTAACTTATTATTATATTGATTTCTGAGTCAAATCCACATTTATTTAGAATAATTTATTAATTAAAATAGTACAAACAAAAAAAAAAATTTTACAAAGATTTAAATAGTTTTCTATCTGTAACAAATGGGCTTGCAATATTATTATTTTTGAATAGTATTTTGTACATACGTTACTTTAAAAAAAATATAAAATGTCAATATTCCATGGGTATAGTGATAAATGAGGTCTAAATTATAAAAAATGCATTTTCTTCGAAAACTTGAAGAGATAGGTATAAAATGGTATAGTACAATTTGATAGGCAATTAAATTGTGCATCTGAATCACGTAAAATATACAGGGTGTTCCATTTAAATTAAACAAGTTATTGTCGTTTAAAACTAGTAAATATTTAATATAAATTTTTGGACACTCTGTATAAGGAAGTATAATTTTATTAGGGACACTCTGTATCTTTTAAAATTATTTTTAAATTGTAGCTCTAAGAGTTCTACAACGAACCCAAAACTTACAATTTGTAAAAATCTAACCGTTTAGCTACAATACTCCGTGTCGTATGTGGTGAACAATCCTGTATATAGCTATGTGTCCTTCTTTGGTACAAAATACTTCTTTACGACTGTTTACGAGTAAAAGTTATCTGTACCAAAGTTACCCCGACTTTTAGGGGGTAGCGTTACTTTAAGGCAATGAAACAGGTGTACTAAGTCGAAGAATTTTTTTTCAGTTTTTTTAACGTATGTAAAAAGTTTTTTTAACGTATGGAAGAGAGAAATGTTTGCTCATCATTTAAAAAAAACAAACCATAACGTGCTTAACTGATACTTCTTAAATCCAAGCAGAAACAGGGATAGGAATATTTGTGCCGAAAGATAATTCTTATACCTTCATTATGCAACATTTTACGACATGCCCGAAATTCCTTTAAACAAAAATCCGAATTGAATAATAATCTAGACCAGAACGAGAGTGAAGAAGAAGAGAAAGAAAAAATGAAGACGGTCAACAATTTCACTCTCAACTGCCCTCGATACTGTAACACTCACTCACACGCGGCCACAGACACGATTTACTTACGCAACGGCTGAGAAAAAAAGTTATTAATCCAATAACAGGCGAAGTTGAAGGCTGTAAAGTAATCGAACATCCTCGTCGAAGGATGATGCTGTTACTTTTACCCGACGCATTGACCTTTCTTCCATGAATTAAATTAAGTAGCGATTTAATTCACATAAAGAATGCAAAATCTCTTGTTTCGATGTAGGTACTTAAAATGTATAATGATTTTAAATTTTTTTGGTGTAATGATTTTGATTACTACTTAAATAGTTTATAAATTATTTTTTTAATGCAGGTGCTTTTAAAGTTATCTTCACACACTTTAGAAAATTGGTTTCTCACTGCAGGACACCAGTATAGAATTTTGTTTACTGTATATTAGAAAAAATGGCGCATGTAATTAGAAATGTACCAAATATCAATTCTACAAATTATTGGTTGGAACACACAAAATCTAATTTGCACAGATTTTTTTATATTAAAACGAAAATGTATTCAGATCTTGGACTGGTCACGGCTGGAGCTTTGGCAAGAAGAGGTCTTACATCAAGACCAGTACCAAGACCAAGATCAAAGGAGTCAGGCATCTGTAACTTCTAGAATAAAAAACTTAGGAATTTTGTATAAGTCTGGATTGTACAGGGTGTCCCATTTTGGTTGAAATCATACGTATCTCCGTTATTAGTGAAGATAGAAGGGTGCGGTTTGCACAAACCTCTCTCACTTTTTTGTCAAACGGAAGATGCCGTAAACAAAATTTTCATAGCCCTCTTCGTTTCCGAGCTACAGGGTCTTTTTGAAAATTTTGCAATTTGGGACACCTCCTGTATCTCTGTTATTGTTAAAGCTATCGAGAAGAAACTGTTTATCGTAGAACTTTTTACGTAGAATACAGTGGCGTAGTCTGTTTTTCTACCAAAAAATATTTTTGAAAATAGGAACTAAAGTTATGTTTTTTTAAATGGAACACCCTGTATATTTATAAATCATATGATCTGTCTTGCCATAAGCTTCTCAAAAATATATATCACTCTATATTTATTTTCACTATTTACTGCAATATTTAAAAGTCTTCATTAAAATATCATTTTTATTAGTATAGGCCATGATTGATAATAAAAGAAACTAAAGAATTATTAAAAGTATACTGCTATCTGTCTCTTGTTTTATTTTGGGGGCCACTAATAAATTCTTTATATATCAGGGAAACTTAACTCTGTACCGCTATTTGTAAATCTTGAAATACGTGTATAAGATATTCCTTTAGCTAATTTACGTGAAACATA